TTTAGGGTTGAGGGTTTAGGGCGCTCCTTCTCTGCTGATTTCCTTGTATAATAGGCCGCCCCTTCAGGGAACCTTTGACCCTAACCCCTAAACGGAACCCTATTGAAACCTTCAGTTGGCAGAGGGTCGAATCGGAAACGGCCCTGGTCATCCTTGCTGAGCACGCCTCACCGGGTCTTCGGTCTGGGGGTTCAGGGTTCAGGGTTTAGGGTTTAGGGTTTAGTCCAAACCCGAAACCCTAAACCCATTTAGTCACCCGAAACCCTAGCCCCGAAGCTGGGGGTGTGGGGTTCTTCTCAACTCTTGCGGCGTTGCTTAAAGGATTTACATAGGGATTCTTGTTTTGTTGAGGGTCAAAGCTGTGTTTACAGGGTTTCGTGGTGCGGGGCTTCAGAGATTTGCGGCTTTAAGGCTTAAGTTTGGGACTTTGCGCTTTTTCAAGTTTTTAAGAACTTTACCCTAACCCCTAAACCCTAAACCCTAATGGGTTTAGGGTTCAGAGATAAGGTCTCCTACAAGGACTCCAGATATCTTGAACCCACGCCTTCGGCTCCTTCCTTTTCGTCTACTTTTACGCAGGCCATTCCCGCTAAACCATGGTTCTTCTACTGGGTGACCGTTCCTGCTCGAATCCCCATGTACATTGAGTTCATCATTGACTCATAAGAGACTTGACAAATGCAGATACATTACAAGCCAGAAACGACATAAATAAAGATTCGGGGTTTTTTGATCGGAAGTGAATGTGACTAGGCAAGACAAAGCCTCATGGCACTTGCAAAAGAAGCTGTAAGACATAGGTTGTTGATCGAAAACGCAGAGTGTAGAGGCTTTCGGGCATTTTGGCTTCAGAAACCCTAAACCCTAAACCCCTAAACCCCTAAACCCCTACCCCTAAAACCCTAAACCCCTAAACCCCTAAACCCTAAACCGGCTGGGTTTAGGGTTTGGGAGTTTAGGGTCTGGGGGTTTAGGGTTTGGGGTTTTAGGTTTTGACTACATCCTGATTAACAGATTCCTCTGGGGCATCACCGCTTCAGGTTGTAACCCTATGCTGCAAGCATCCTCTTAATATATCGGTCATAGCCTGCTTTATCCAAAGGACATAGCAAAACATAGATAAACCATGCCAAGCACTCTCCTACCCTAAATAATTAAGTGAAGCCGTGGACCTCGTGCAGACGGACGACAGAACAGTCGGAAGCAGAAGTACAGTGCCGGGCTGCATGTCGACAAGAGCAACGACGGCCCCTCGCGCATCATCGCCCAGGCCGATTGTGGTCAGAGAGGGGCCCATGGCAAAGTTTTGCCGCCCTTGCATCTGCTGAATAGAAAGTCCAAAGACGAACATCAGCCCTAAACCCTAAACCCTAAACCCTAAACCCTAAACCCAAGGGCAGAGGATCACTGTGGATCTCGGAGCCTACCGCTCAGGACCCCGACTCTGTCATTGGCCAAGGTGGCCCAACATCTTCGGGGGCGTTGCCCGTTCTCCCAAACGGTTTAGGGTTTAGGGTTTAGGGTTGGTCGTTGCAGCATTGCATCAAGAATGGAGGGCTTCCCTCTTGGGCTCGGCCTGGCCATTACCTCTCCTTTTGGGGTCAGTGCCAGCCAGCAGATAACCGAAGGTTTCAGTCAGGGCCCTCGAACTTAGAATAACTTAGGGGCCCTAAACCCTAGCCCAAAAAAAGGTTAACCTTTTCAGTTATGGTAGGTATAAACTAAACCCTAAACCCTAAACCCTAAACCCTGAACCCCAAAAAGGGTTAAAGGTTACCTACTCAACCACCAAGATAATGTGCCGTCAACCCGAAGTTCATCGAGCCGTGGGAATCTCCTTTACTCCTGCCGCTTTTGTGGCTTGCTCGCTGGAAGCTGCTCCTTACTAGGGTTTAGGGTTGAAGGTTTAGGGTTTAGGGTTTAGGGTATAGGATTGCTCGCTGCACGGTTTAGGGTTTAGGGTTTAGGGTTTAGGGTCATAAACCTTAAACTAAACCATAAAGTCTTAAGGTATTAGGGTATTTGGGGTATTTGGGGGGGGGTATTGGGGGTATTTAGGGTATGTAGGGTATTTGGGGGTGTTTGGGATGTTTAGGGTATTTGGGGGTATTTGGGGTATTTGGGTATTTGGGGTATTTGGGGGTATTTAGGGGTATTTGGGGTATTTAGGGTATTTGGGGGGGTATGTAGGGTATTTTGGGTATTTGGGGGTTTAGGGTTTAGGGGCTCTGAAGTAGCCTTTGAAAGGAAGTACTGGTAGCTGAGTGAGGCATCCTTATGTGGAGGAAGAGGGGCTATGAACTCTACTTCAGCTTCTTTACCAAACTCACCTGCCACAAGACTGCGAGGGAACCACGAAGCAGACAGAAACTCACTGAAAGCCGTGACACCGCTCTTCAGGTCCAGAGATTTGCAGCGAGTCGGCTTACCTGAGACTGCTGGGCAAGCACGCCTTCAACCTACTCATGCTCGTCGTGACCAACATCGAATGGAAGGACGTCTTCCTGCAAAATTGTGCCGCAGCTCCACTCAGACGCCGCTCGGAATACATCTCAGCCCTGACTGGAAGTTTCGCGAAAGCCGGGACCTTTCGTGGGTGGTGCTCGTGGTTGGGTTTAGGGTTCAGGGCTTCGGCTTCATAGACCTAGTGTGAGGGTTGTTCCAGCGGTAAACAGATTTCAGTTGGCTTTGCGGATGGTTCTACCTTTGAATTGCATGGTCGCTGGCTCCGCGATGCTGGCCGAGATGCCTTGGTGGTTTCTCAGCAGGCTGGCGAACGGTATCTTGACCGCATCGCCTTCTCTCCAAAAGGACAGCACAGCAAGGGAGAGGTAGCAGAGGCCAAAGTTCTTGATGATGGTCTTGAAATCAGGTGGAAGGGTGATCCTCAAATTGGAGATGATCCGAGCTACTTTTCCAGTGGCTTTTTGCGGATGTATGCGCCAGTGGCAGGGAAGGTCTTACAAGGTGACAAGCATCATCCATGTAATGTGGACTTCCACTGGCTGAGAGGCTATTCAGGATTTGCTGTCGTGATACTGGACAATGTTCCTCCATCGCAAGACTCAAGTGTTTTGCTGGATTTCGTGAACAACTGCCTGGGTGGCATGCAGAAGGATCCAGCGCGAGATGACCCTAATTTGGTGATCAAACGAAAGGCTGCCGCTTTGCGTGTGAGCTATGCCCAGGAAAGGCGGCTGAATAATCACACTGACCAGTCGGTGCCAGCACATGGCATTCCAGCCTTGCTCTTGGTGGTGAATCTATGCTTCTTTCCACAAGACACCAAGCACGGTGCCTTTCGATAAGTTTGAAGACTGGTATGATGCTTATTTGCTTTGGAATGAAATGATCCATGGCACGGAGTTTGAAGTGGAGGTTCCTATCTCGCAAGGGCAGATGCTGATCCTTGATAACTGGCGTGTTTTGCATGGCCGTGCTGGTGGGAAAAGCACTCCAGATCGTGTGGTCATGGGTGGCACAGTAGTGAGAGAAGGTTTTCACTCCAAGGCACAACATCAACAAGCAGGATTCCTCAGGGCTTTTGGGATGGTTATGGATAGTTTAGACCAGATCGGATCGAACATTTTACGGCCCTGCCTGAAGGCCCGCCATCCCGTAAATGCAAGCTCCGGGATTGGGGTGAAGTAGGGTCTATCTATCTCCTCGTCACGCGCTGGAGCCAGGAGATCGCGATTCCCCTCAGACAACCGCGAGCAGCTGATTACCGTTGAGGCACATTGAGGCGCGACGGTTCACAGCTTCATCTTTTCGGCCAGGGCAGGGGTTTGAGGGGGTTGAGCAGTGAGATATTTCAAAGATATGGCGGCCGACGAGAAGAAGCATTGGAACCCTTCTGCTTGTGGATCATGTTTTGGATATCAGTAAACCTTAGCCCTGGACCGCTGGACCTTCAACCACCCTTCATGGCACAAGCAGCCCTTTGTGCAGGCGATATAGGGTGTCGGATTCGGGAAGGCCCCATGCAGAATTAGAAATCACACTCAGGCGGCGAAAGTTATTGCAGTGTTCGGATCAGGTTTGCGGAAGTAGTTGAATCATTGAAAAGAGTGGAATTATGAGTTTTGGTGGGCTTCCAGTGTAACTACGACCCAAGTACGCAGAGGCCTTCAATTCATCTAGGTTCCTCCTCGGCAATGCAACACCGGTCGCTTGAGCCGTGCTTTAGCCCTTTCAGGACGACCTTCTGCACTATTTGCGGGGTAGTTGTGTGATCCCTTCCCTAATAGATCCAATAGTAAGCCCACCCAGCCTGAAAAGTTGTGTCAGGATCCTCCATGTCGTCGCCGAGATCGTGGCAGTACGACTGAGGAAGGGAGCTAGCTCTTGTTGAAAGTCTGTTTGTTCCAGAGCCAAGAGTACATGCAGTCAGGAAACGTGTCGGAGAACTCGTGCTACATCTCTTCGCGGAGAAAATGATTCTCAGCACAGGTATCCGAGTGCCTCCACGTCCCCTGAATACACCCAAAGCCATCGGTGTGCGGAGCATCCAAACCTTATCAGCTGTGGCCCCCGCTGTTGAATGGCAGTGCAGTGCCCCCCCTGTCATAAGCATTTATTTGTCTTTCTCGGCTTGACTCTAACAAGGAATGGCGTACCCTACCGACCCCGCAAACCCTGAATCGACGCAACCCTTCCAGTTCCGCTTCGATCGTTCCCTAAACCCTAAACCCTAAACCTTAAACCCTAAAGCCACGTCACGTCACGACTTGATTCCGCCACCGTTGCGGCTCCGGGCGCGGCGCTTTTCGCAGGTGAGGGGTGAGCTGCCAGCAACTCGCCTCAAAGCGGGTGCGGATTACTAGGGTTTAGGGTTTAGGGTTTAGGGTTTTGCGGAGTGAGGGTCGTGAGTAAGTTGTAGTTGATGCGTAAGTTGTAGCTGCTGCGTCGCAAAAAGACCGTCCGTCCAGAGGTTGTTCGGCAAGTGTGGTAAAAGTATACGTGATGCATCCTGAGAACAGCTCCTTTTGGCGTACTCGTTGCACAACTTGGGGAAGGTTATTTCCACAACCCAGGTGGCTCCAAGGACTCGGCATTTTTGAGCCTATGAGCCATTGACTTCATTCAAAGCCTCCTTGCAACTTATGCTTCGAAACAGCGCCCCTTAGCAATGGCCTTGGCCTTGCCTGCCGCCGCCCGAGGTCCGCCTTTGCGAGCAACCATGGGGGAATTTACCATCCGCACACGTGGCCTGGCCGAAGGAGACCCACGAAAAATCCCACAGGGTAAAGGTTTAGGATTTAGGGTTTAGGGTTTAGGGTTTAGGGCACTCGTGTTTCGGGAAAAGCTAGTCCGGAGCCTTCGACGAAGCTCTGCTCCAAGGAAGTCCACCCCCCCCCCCCAAGCAGTGGCGAAAAGCTGCATTTCCGTAGTCGAGCTCTTGTCTTCCCTCCTGTTTAGAGGGCTCCCATAGCGGTATCCTGAAGAGGCCAAGTAGCCGGAGAGTTGAAACCTTGCTAGTAGTAGTAGTAGTAGTAGTAGTAGTAGTAATAATAATACTAATATTAATAGTGATAATGGCAATAGTAGTCATGGTAGTAATGGTGATGATATTAGAAAGGAGGCTTCTTTTCCTTCCGAGGCAAGTTTCAGACGAACCCACTCCTGGGTCGGAAGCAGTTCGTCGTGGATGCTGCTCGGCCCGGCTACTGCTGCCGTGATGCGCCTGACGATGAAGAAGAAAGGATGAGAACATTATGAAGATGACGATGGTGCCGATGATAGTCTCAGCGACGACGCCGACGATGAGGACGACAACTAGTTCCAGCTATGTCCGATGCAATTGTTATCGTCGTCATCATCGGCGTCGTCGTCCTTCCGAGCATAATGATCATGACCGGTCAAGCTTGTATGATTGAGGATTTCTGGATTCTGCCAGGCTCTCTTGCCGTAGGGCTTTGTTAGGGTCGATAATCAATGGGTGCAGGGCCTTGGGCTTAAGGTTGAGGGTTGAAACATGCTCCAGGGTTTCAGGATTCAGTCTGGGTCTTTGATGCCACATGGTAGGATGGCCCAAGGGGCTATTGTGATCCCAAAGCGGACTTCTCCTGTAACTGCGTTCACGGAGCCTTGCCAGAGTCTTCAGGGGTGACCAACTCCATTGTTCAACTCAGACCCAAGGCCATGAACCCCAAACCGTAGAACCTTACGATGCGGAAGCGCCTGAACCCCAAACCAGAAGCCCTAACCCTCAATTCCAGCACGGTGGATCAGGTGATCCATCCCTCCATGGCAAACGTCTCCAGGGAAGACCTGGGCGCGAAGTTGGCAAAGATGTACAAGGCGTTTCTGGTGTTTGGGTTTCGGGTTTCGGGTTTCGGCTTGAGTGGACTGAGACAGAAAAAAAGTGCAATGTACCTTCACCCAAAACTCAAAACCGGAGCCTTTTGCAGACTTATGCACCCACAGAAGCCTTGGCACGCCGGTGACATGCGCTGATCCTTTCTGCCCGTGGCTGGGTCAAAGTGCTCGCCCTCAGACCGCAGCAAGAGAAGATGCGAGAAGCTCACGGACAGCCAGTGAGGTTTGAGAGCCCCGCCCTGGCATCCCAGACCCCCGGGAGGATCCAAAAAGTAGATCCCTTAAGGGGGTTCCTATGAAGTACCCTTTAGTAGTTCGGGTCCCAAAAGAGCGGATCTACTTTTTGGATCCTCCCGGGGGTGGGAACTCATGCCTCACCTTCTCGCATGGTACAACCGGACCGCATGAACCCCCAAAGTCATGGGGTTCCACCTGGCGGTGCAGGTCGTAGTGAACTCCGATCTTACATAGACCGACAAACGGCCAAGATCCCCTGAAAGCACCCTTTAAATCTATAAGTCTATAAGGCATTGAACCCTGCTTGTCGAACCCTTTGGAGAATTCATTCCCGGATACTCGCAGGGGTTTTCAGTGATAGTTTTCAGTGATAGCTAAACAACCCTAAACCCTGTTCTGTTAAGGGCTCGGATAGGTGCATGACTCCAAGTGCATCCAGCTCTTCAGCTTTAAGACTGCCTTCGGCGGCGGCCGAAGCACAGGACCCTTTTTGGGAAGCTTCTGCTAAACCGCTGTCTCTTTACAACCCGGGTTCTTCTTCCTTGCTCCCTAGAAGCCTCTCTGCTGACATGATTTTTTGTTGAGTGCTCTGCCCTGCGGTAAGGTGCTGGTACAGAGCAGGAGAAACAAAGATCGGGGAGTAAACCCTAAACCCTAAACCCTAAACGAGGCCCTTATTGTAGGAGCCTCTCGCTTGCCCTCAGCAGGATTTGGTCTGATCTACGAGAACCTGGCCACTTGACTTCGCTTTTAGGCTTCAGAGCTCCTGTTTCTACCAGAATTACTCGTAGCTAACTTCTTGCTCATGTCGTTGGGTTAGTCTTGTTAACCTCGTTGTAGCCTTTCTGCTCCTCCTAAACCCAAGATCCACACCTGATCCCTACTTTGAATATCTGCGGCCTGAGGAGAAGATGAGTCCCGGCAGCAGTGGGTCCAATGGGGGACTTTGCAGCTGGATGTGTGCACCTAACACCCTAACTGCTCTTACTGCTTTTTTGATGTGTGTTGGGTAGTCGTAGCATAACGGTGTCGAGTAGAAGGAGAGCTGCTACTGTTGGCCAGAGCAGATGTCTCTTCTTTGACCATGCCTGTTGCTCCGAGAGGGTTGATGTTCATTCTGTCTCTTACTGCAGCTGAAATGATTGAAATGATGCTGGGCCAGGGGACTGTCCGTCCTGTCGGCCGTCAGGAATGTACTAGGCATGTCAGGGTGAGCCTAAGGGCGGCTGTGGATGTACATTTTGTAGCCGGAAGCCGAATACATCCTAGTAGCAGTAGTCAAAAAAGCAATGCATCATTAATTTTCCACCGACAAGAGCCGGCGACAAGATAAACGTGGCAAGCATTTCAGCTAGAACCGTGACAGGAGCATTACAGAAAACTACGACCACCATGCTGGACCTGCGAAGACAGATGGCAAAGACAGCCGGGGCAAACTTGCGGAAGCATGGCATGGAGGATGGAGGTGAAGCAGGTGCTAGTAAACTCGAAGTAACACTCAAATTGCGAAAGGACTCGAAAACTGTCAGCATCCAGGTCCCTTACATCAATCAGCACCACCACCACCACCATCATCATCATCATCACCATCATCATCATGGTATTCATCTTCATCTTGACGTCGCCCTTTATTACCAACATCATCATGACCAAGTACATGTTTTAAGCGTTCCGCACCTTCATGGTCGTGTAGCCACGGTTATGCCCCAGGAAGAAGTTCGAGCCCAAGTACCGCCTGAAGCGCGCTGGAGTGGGTGGTGCTGCTCGGCCGCGTTCAGTTCACGGGGCCCAATTGGGATAAGGACACTTGAAAGGTCACAATGAGCTTAACGTAAATGATAGAGTTGCCATCGATTTACTATAAGGGTTAGGGTCACGGCAAGAGGCTTCTGGAGCCGATCTAGGCATTTCTAGTGTTGTAATTCGGGCTTGTTATCATCTTGCCGTGCTCATGGATTTACGTGATTGCCGATGATGGCTGGGACTGGGATGTTGATGTTGCCTATTTCCCTTATGCGTCGCACGGGCACGTAGCCGAGGGTTCTCATGAGAACCCTTTCCGAAATCCAACCCTCATGGAAAACCTTGTTGTAGCTATCCGCACAAAGAATAGTACTAGTAGCGCTGCGTGGTAACCTGTATAGTAACCTTTTTAGTAACTGTTATTACTATAGTAAGCCCTTATCGCAACCCTTATAGTAACCCCTCCCGTCGCACACATCGGGACGCAAAGGAGAAGACCGGGGCAGGACGACGAGGCCCGAACTCGGAATTCAGCAAAGCTGGGGGGGGGGTTTAGGATTTGGAGGCTATTGGGTTTAGGGTTGTTTTTGTGGGAAGGGGGGGGGGGATTTAGGAGTGGAGCTTGGGTGTGGGGTTTAGGGTTTCAGGCGGCTTCCATGGGAAGGAACGACCAGACGACCCGACGAAGACGACGACGACCGTGACGACATCAGCATTGGCATCATCGTCATCATCATCGTCAGCACCTTCAGGTTCTAAAGTTTACTGACCGGCTAGGCTGCAGTCATCGTTCGAGGAGGCAGAAGGTCCAAATGGTGAGGAACGTGAAGTGATGGTCAGGATAAGGTTGCTGGTAGAAGATGATAGCCGAAAGCAAAAAAGGACATGAGAGCAAACGGTTGTCATGACACTGGTGATTAGAGTTTGAGCAGTCTCCTCCTCGTCAATGATCGTCATCGTTACTATGCGCAATAGTAACATAGTCGTAGCAGCTGAAGTAGCAGCAGGAGTGGCAAGCACTCGCAACAGCATCAGGTGTAGGTAGCAGCAGTCGTATAGCAGCCGGCTGTAACAGCCCATCGCTGCTGCGGTCGTAGGAGCAGCACAATATGCAGTGCATGACAGCACCCCGAAATGGCAGGTTCTTCTCAGCGGGTACAGTAGGCGCTTTATACATCCCGGCAGGAAAGAAGGACACCAAGAACCGAATGAAGAAGACCCGTGGCAAGGAGAAGTCGAAGGCCTCGAGAATGCAGCGAAGACCCGAGAGCACTTGACTCACAGCCCCTCTTCGTGTTCTTGAATCTGCTGGGCTTCTGGTTCTGCTTTATGTACTTGTGATACAGCTGCGAGCAGCAGAAGAAGGAGCTCAAGGGTCGGGCTCAACGCAGCTTTTGGGGCCTCGTTCTACAGAAAGCCCTTATCAGTGCTTCCGGTAATACGACACGGTCGACACAGGACTCCCCAGGTCTGTTGCGAGGCACCTGTGGCCTCCACGTGCGTCCGTAAGCGTCACACAATGTCCTGGAGCTCAGATGATTACTGTCTTGGGGTTTTGTCAGCCAGCGGTCTTCAAGATAGCACCCTGAACCCAGTGTCTCGCAGCCGAGACAACGTCCAGTAGCATAGATTCGGCATCATGGGGCGGAAAAGGTATCACATCATGCAACATGCCCATGTTGGAATCTTCACATGAATATTCGTCAGTTGTAAGCTCTTACACTCATGCATCGTTCGACTGCTGCTCATGCAAACACAGGTAAGCACTGAGAAGTCACATGTTGAAGGGTCCTAGTGGCACCCGCCCGTGCTCGACCCCAGTCGAATGATTCAGCTGGCAGATCAGAAACGCAAGGCCCTGAAGCCTGGGATCTTTAATCCTTGCAGCCTGGGCCCCGACACGCCGAAGCCCCAAAGCCACGATGCCAGAAAGGCGCCATGCTGGCACCCTTCTACCCAACACATGCTCATCCCTGAAAGCCCAAAGCCCGGACCCTAAGTCACAAGACCAAAACCGTATTTGTCAAAGCAGGCAAAGTCTACTGGCAAGAAGTGAGCGGCAGAGTGCTTCGACGGGCGGCAGGCAACCTCCGAGAAAAGGAAGCCTTGGCGAGTTTAGTGGGGTTCAGGGCGCTTGGGGTCGTCTTGGGCCCGGAGGGTTTGGGTCCGTGCTTTTGGGTCCAAGGCATAGCTGAGAGTTTTGAAAGTGGTTCGTCGCTGCACACAGGTTCGGCAGCGGGACGAGTACTGTGCGTGTCAATTCTGACTTAAGCCAACTTAAGGCTTAAGCCTACCATTCTATGAGTTTCTCTGTTTGTCCAAGTTTTTGATGATATGCCCACGCGCTCTCTACATGCAAAACCCTAGATCAGAAAATCCTGAGTGACTTCTTGAATGGGCACTGTGCAGGTCTCAAGCGTTCTGCTTCGGATTAGAGATGTGCGGATCTAGGCTAGTGGTACCCGGCTCAGACCCCGCAGCACCAAGAAAAACAGAGTTGCTACAACAAGGTAGGGCTATAGGACAAAGCTGCAGCACTGCAGTCAGAGACCTGAGTGAACTCGGTGCGACTCTGAAGAAGCAACCGAAGCCTGAAACCCCCTCAGCAGCGCGGAATAGCGCGAACAATGTGACAAGTGGCATGGAACCGAGATGTAAAGCTGACCATACAAAGAAGCCCCGCTGAGGTTTAGGGTCATGTGGAGTCCGAACTGAAACTTTATAGCTTCAGCTAAGCTTCCAATTTGATTTAAAGTGCCTGGCCCCCGATGGCGACTCCCGTTGGAGTCCTTCCGCGGTTACGGTCCACCAGTGCAGATGTCGAGGCTGCAATGTTTTTGCCGCATCTTCAGAGCAACGACAACTTTAGGGTTTGGGGTTTAGGGTTTAGGGTTTCGGTTTAGGTTCAGGGATTGGAGCTGGGACCGAGGTTTCAAAGTCTTTTTGGGGTTTGTTCCTGCAGGCAGCCCGGGAATTTTGGCCGTCATGCTCAGGGTCGAACTTCACGGGGCCTCGTTGGGCGACGCAGAGCTTGGCTCCTGTTAAAAGCAGCTTCAGTGGCGTGCCAGCCCCCGAATCAACGCCGACAGATGCCCGATGATATGGGAGTTTCAGAAAATTAGGGTACCTTATTTGGGGGTCCTTATAATAGGGATCCTATTATTTAGGTCACCTATTTTCGGAACTCCCCATGTCTGTGCCAGGAAGTTGTTGTGGATTCCGGGCTAGATGCAACGACTACAGCCACGATCAGCACACCCGAAGCCTTCCGCAGCGAGACCCGAAATCGTCGACGTGTAGACCTTTTTGGCTCCTACAAGCTTTTCACAAAAAATCCCGTGAACTCTCTTGTGACCCTATCGCCTTTAGACCCCAAAGGTCTATAAGCCCTGAAGATGCCTTATCCCGAAACCCTTTAATTAGCTTTAAAAGTTCATGCAATAAAAAAGGGTGGGATCCGGGACTCCACAGAACTGACAACAAAAAACTCAGGAGGTGCCTTCTTTGACAGGCCTTGAAACAAGAGTCCTGCTGATTCAAGGCTTGTACTTGTTGAACTCTGAGAATCCGGGTTTGAGAATTCGAGTTTAGGGTTCCGGGTTTGGGTTTCAGCGGTTGAGGGTGTGGGGCGCAGGGTAGGTTCTTGTTGTTGAATTCCTGTCAGCGGTTGTTCGATTAGCAATGCTTGTTCTTTCTTGGTCTTGGTCTTATGAATACTCCTCAGCATCGTCAAGGCATCATCATTGCCGCTCGTGCGCCTACCGTTGAGAGTTTCCTGCATGTGCGCTTGGCGCAACCCTGGTGTGTATTGAATCATTGAAGTGTGATTTCTTTGATTGTGTTTTCGGCCCTAAACCCTAAACCCTAAACCCTGAACCCTGAACCCTGAACCCTAAACCCTTTGTTTTCCAGCAGCCAGCACCTGCTCAGGGCCAGGGCACGTTCGTCAGCTCGGCTGCACGGCTGAATTCCTGAGAGAAGCATGCGGAAGCACACTGTCAGCTTAAGGTTAACGGTTTCAAGGTCAGGCGCGAGCATGTGCTAGCAAAGGCTGCCTTGGAAGCAGCGAGACATGCTTCAAAGTGCCACTGGTATTGGTAGCAGTAGAGTCGTCGTAGTAGTAGTAGTAG